CTTTACACAATTGATGTGTGTATGGATTGGGATAACAGTTGTATGAGCCCCTAATAAAATGTTAAAAAAAAAAAAAAAAAAGAGTACAGCCTTGGGAAATCTACAGGCAGTTGTACGGGGTCCCTAAGAGTTGGAATCTACTCGGTGGTAATGGGCTTAATAAATTAATAATAAAATATCAAATATTTTATTATTTAAATATTAAAAAGAAAGCTTGGTAATGGGTAGTATAATATTACTTGTCATAAGTAAGTTACTCATAAAAATATATACAGGACTGTAAAATATTCACTCGTATATCATGTAAAATCATCTGAGACACCACTCCATCCTTCCAGTTGCTCAGACCGAAAACCGGGGGGCCAGAGGTGAGTCCCCTTTTCTCTCACACTTCCTCGCCACCCTGACAGCAAGCCAGGTCAGCTCAGACTCCAAGTCTACAGTGGAGCCATGTCTAGCCACTTCTCACCACCTTTGCTGCTGTTGTCCTGGGCCAAGACAGAATTTGCTTCTGCCTGCATTATTGTAATAGTCTCCTGATTGCTTCTGCCCACGTGCCCTGTCCTTTACACGACAGTCAGGGGGGTCCTGTTAAAAATCAGACCATGCCACCCCTCTCTTCCGAACTCTCGTGAATCCTGTACCTCCCTGACAGCCAGAGTCCTTCACCTCGCCCTCCTCCAGCACCTGTCTTGCTCTCATGGCTTTAGCTAAGTTGGTATCCTTGTGCTTCTTCAACCCTCCAGCCAACGTCCTGCCTCCGTAGGCTTGCACTTCCTGTTCCTTCTGCCAGGAAGACTTGCTTGCCCTAGAGATCTTGAAATCACGCTCCCTCACCTTTTCCAGTTCTACAGTCATGAGACTTTCCATGATCAGCTTATTTAAAATGGGATCCCCTCCACCAACTCGCCTCCCACACTCTTGGCCCTGGAATACCTTGATCTGCCCTTTATTTGACGTATTTACTTTCAGAGGTTGTACCTCCTGCTAGAATGTAAGCTCTGTGAGGCAGGGATGGTTTGCTTGCCCCCTGGTTCCTAGGAAAGGACCTGACATAGGCTCTCATTTTGAGTGCTGAGTGCCTTATGTCCCATACTTGGGAGAATACTGAGTGAGACACCCTGGGGACACCTAGAGTCTTGGCTCCCTCCCCTTGGTCTTTTCCAGTCATGTGGTTGTATTGCTTGCCTTGGAGACTGGCCATTGGAGTTCAGCATCGAAAGCAAAAGGACTAGACCCTGTCACTTTTGGGTCCTGACTTTTTTCCCCTAGAAAAAGTGGTCCAAATGCCAGGGACAGGAGCAAGGAGAGATGGGATAGTTTGGGAGAGCCGACACTAGGGGAGACACTCAGTGCCCCCACACCGGAAGAAGGTTGGTCTTCCTTGCCTCTCCAGCCTCTTTCTTGCTCAGGTACTTCTCTAGAAAACCCTCAGAAAAGCCCAGCCCTCGGTCTGAACTCCGGTTCCACAGCTTGACTGTGAGGCATGCCTGCCTGGTTGCTTTCACCAGGGCTGGGAATTTCTGGAAACAAATAAATCCGAGAACCAGCTAATATTGTTAAGCTTTTTCCATAAACTCAGACAAACTATGGCTCAATAGTTGAAATATAAAGTATGCATTAAGCATATACCCACTATATATAGACCCTTGATGTAAATTACCTCCTTTGGCACCTCAGCTGACTGTTATTTCATGATGGAAAGCAAAATAAAACCGTCCCAGGCAGTTCGTCGTCCTGTGGTAGCTTGAGTCAGTCCAGTAAGTGAATGCGCCCTTAGTAGCCAAACAAAGGCCAGAGCCTCTGCTCTCCCAGTGTCCTTTTGTCATCAGCACTTGACGTTGGTGGTTTTCATCTCAAGTGGAGTCAAGTTAATCACCATCTAGAGATGTAAGCCCTTGATGACGTTTGTCGAACTTCTGGGGGCGAAGGATGGATGGGGTGTCTTTGGTTTAATAGTCACTTCTCTTTTAATGGTACCGGATGCCCCTTTCCCTGGTTGGGAGGGTCGACCCAGATTGTTAATCCATATTGTTCTGTAAGCAGCATGTCAATAGTGTGACAGGCTTCAGTGACTTTTGGTTTTGTTTTTTTGCATGTTCGCATCTTTTTCCCTAGGGGTAATAATTAGCAGTTAGCCCTAGACTTGCAAGTTCCCCTGGAGTTGCTAGTATCTTGAATTTCTTTCCATTTATTTTAGGAGTAAAAGTCCCTCGCAATTTCCGACTGTTGGAAGAACTCGAAGAAGGCCAGAAAGGAGTAGGAGATGGCACAGTTAGCTGGGGTCTAGAAGATGACGAAGACATGACACTTACAAGATGGACAGGGATGATAATTGGGCCTCCAAGAGTAAGCGTCGAGCTACGGCTATACATGTCAATGTCTTAAAATTCACTGTGCCTCCTTTAAAACAAATATTAGCCTTATCACGGAAAAGCTCACCAATGGTATATTTTCTGAAATGTGGCTATTCTTTTTTGACCAGTTTCAGTTTATATATTTGAACCTCCTCTGATGCTGTTTAATCCCTCTAAATGGTAAGCAAAAACCTATTTAGACTCCTAGTGTGCATTTACATGACAATGTAGACAGTGAAGGTTGAGTTAATTGCATTCTCAGATGTAGTTTTAGAATAATCTCATGGGCTTATCAAATCACCAGGCTCCAGGTATAGCCAGATTCCTGAAGAGAGTCTCCAAAGACTTTACGATTGTGGGTTTTATTTTTTTAAATTGCAGTCTTGTATTGTATTTCCTAAAGAAACTGCAGGATGGTTGTGCAGGGCTCGCTCTCCTTTTGTTCTGAAAGCCTAAGGTACCTGCAAATTCTTAAGAACTTGCTGTTAGGTGCAGTCAGTTCAGAGTGACTGTGCATGGCAGCACAAAACACTGCCCAGGCCTGCGCTGTCCTCAAATCCTTGCTATTTGAGCCCATTGTTACAGCCACTGTTTTAGTTGTAGTCTGTCTCCTTGAGGGTCCTCCTCCTTTTTGCTGACCCCTCTACCAAGCATGGTAACTTCTTCCAGGGGCTGGTCTCTCCTGGTATCATGTCCTGAGTGTGAGATGAAGTCTCACCATCCTTACTGTGTGGGTACTCTGTCTGAACTTCTTGCACCACGGATTTGTTCATTTTTCAGGCACCCATGGTACTTTCCATAGTGCTCTCCAGCGCTGTCATTCAAAGGCCTGCCTAGCTCAGTCTTCCGTCTTCATAGTTCAGCTTTCACATACAGACAAGGTCATTGGAAATACCATGACACGGGTCAGGCACATCCCAGTGACCACCAGATTCCAGCAGTGTGATAACGAGTTTTTTAGTGAGTAATGTTTTGCAAATAAAAACACATTTTAAATAGCTTCTAAATGGGTCCTTCACAAGAAATTAATACATATTTTTATAATATGCTCAATTAATGCAAGTCGATCACTGATGGGAACATGAAATCTTTCATTCCTGCAATATAAAATTCACTTACTGCTGATGAGTCCACCCCTCATAGTGACCCCATAGTCATGCGATAATACAAATCTAATACTGAAGTCAATTATAAGAATATCTGTTTCTTACTCTAAAGATATCCATTCATTTATTATTGCGTGATAGATGAGGAGACCCGTGAAGCTTCCCATTCGCAGAGATACATTTTTAGTTCCTCAAAACACTTGATAGCTACAGCTAAGATTTAATTAGGTGACATTTTAATAAAACAGAAATGAGCCCTAGAACTTCAGCAAAGACTTAATGCCTGCCCAGGCAGCTGTAGTCTGTTAGTCCCAGAGGTCTTTGTGAAGAAGATTAAGACTGTGGAGGTGGGAAAGGTGACCTTTCTTGTAGAGCTTCGTGATTTGTGAGCACTCTGGTCACCAAAATGCTGATTGCCCTTTGTTTGAGGGCCCCCAGCAGTAATCCCTGCTCGCAGAAGCAGCAGTCAGGAGATCAAACGATGCATTGGGTAAATCTGCACAAGACGTCACTAAAGTGATGAAAAGCAAGGGTGTTATTTTGAGAATTGAAGTGCATCTGACCCAAGCCAGATATCTTCATTCGCCTCATCTGCATGTGAAAGTTGGACATTGAATAAGGAAGACTGAGGAAGAGTCGATGCACTTGAGTTGTGTTGGCGAAGAATCCTGAAGTACCGTGGACTGCCAAAAGACAAATATATCTGGAAGAAGTACAGCTAAATGCTCCTTAGAGGCAACGATGGCAAAACTTTGCCTCACATAATTTTAACATGGTATCGGGAGAGACCAGTCCCTGGAGGACGTCATCCTTGATAAAGTATAGAGGCCGCCAAAAAGAGGACGGCTCTTGACAAGTTGGATTGACATGGTGACTGTAACAGTGGGCACAAACATAACAATTGTGAGGATGTGCGGTACGTTGGGTCACTGTGAGTCTGAACCCACCTGATGGCACTGCCCAGCAGTAGTAGTCGCTCACCAGTGAATTCTCCCGAGAACGCGTCATTAGCTACTACTGCTACGTTGTTGCAGTCTACTTTACAGCAGGGACACAGCCTTAGAGATGAGAGTTACTTGCCCAACATCATTCAGCTAGTAATTCCTAAATCAGATCTGTCTAACCGGAGAGCCTGTTCTCTTAACCACAATGCTACCCTGCCTCCCTCTTGCTCACCTCCAAGGTTTCATTTGTTACCATTGTAGAAATATCCAGTGTTATTAGTAAATAGGAGTTAAATACTAGAGTCCCAGCATGTGACACTTGTTTCAGACCAGCAGTAGGAGAGTCAGCCTTGATGTCGCAGCACCTTTTCTCTATTTGTCCCAAATGCTGACAGCCTGCATTCATTCTACTCACACGTCCAAGGCTCTGCGCTGACACTTTGGGGCACAGGAAGACCATAGAACGTGGCCCCAGAAAACAGGGAGACGCTCATGTTCACCTTAGACTCTCGCTGAATACTGAGAGAGTCTGACTGGCTTTGTCATTGAATGTTGCCTCTTCCGTCATTTTTGTGACCCTGTTTTGTGCACCTCACCAAAGCCATGGTATTGTCAGTCACTTGAGAGAGAGCATGTGACAGCTGTAGGACCTGAGGAAAGGGGAGACCTTTGACCTGTGGTGCTGGGGAAGAGTACGGAGTACGCCTTGGACTGCCAGAAGAATAAGCAAATCTGAACGAAGAGGCGCCGCTGGAGTGCCCGGCAGACGTGAGAGTGGTGAGGCTTTGTCTCACATCCTTTGGACCTAGCAGTCCCTGGAAGTGGTCATCAAGCTTGTACTGTTACAAGGCCAGCACTAAAGAGAAAGACGGGTTGACGTAGTGCCCACAACCGAACAGTTGCAAGGATGATGCGGGACTACTGAGCATCATTGCCTTCTGTTTGACATACGGTTGCCAAGAGTTGGAACTGACTTAATGGCATTTAACAGTAGTTTTTGTTTGGAGGGTGGGGTTATTCATCTACTTGTACTTATGTTTTTCTATGAAAACCATGATGTTTTATATTGGTTGAGGAGAACCCAATTTTAAAATCTTGTTTTTTCATGGAGATACATTTCTATGCTGCCTCTGAGAGCCCATTATGTATCTATAGATTGCTTCATTCAGTTGATTTCCTAGCTCTCTTGAGAAAGATTTGGATTTTGTGAGGATGAGAACTTGCCTTCCTGCCTCCTTATTCCCCAGAGCACCTGGAAATGATTCCGAACAGGGTTGATGTTGAGTACATCAGTTAGGTAATTACTCTCTTCACATTTTCTGGTTTTAACAAGTTAAGCATGAACTAGTGAGTTCTAGTTCATCTAAATAATTAACTTGGCCTACCCTGAATTTCAATTCATGTCTTCTAAACTTTTTGTGAGGCACTGTATTATATGACGTGCTTTTCCGTGTTGTTGTTGTTGTTAAATGCCGTCAAGTCAGTTCCAGCTCATAGGGGACCCATGTACAAGAGAACAAAAAGTCCTGCACCATCCATGAGACAAAGTCTCACCACCGTTTTTTCTAAGGAGCATTCTGGCTGTACTTCTTCCAAGACAGATTTATTGTTCTTCTAGCAGTCCCTGGTACTTTGAATATTCTTCAACAATGCCATAATTCAAAGGCTCTTTGGTCTTTATTCATTGTCAAGTTTTCAAATGCATATGAGGCTATTGAAAACACCATAGCTTGCTTGGGCCAGGCAGCCTTAGTCTTCCAGGCGAGAGTTGGGTTTTTAACACTTTCTTGAGGTCTTGTGTAACATCAGCCTGTGAGATTCATGGATTGTAAATTCTAAAATCCAAGATCAGAGAAGGGCATTGTGTTAGACCTTACATTCTGAGCACCTGGTTTGCAGGACTTGGTAGATGACTAGGAAAGCCCAAAATCTATTTGCAGAGTCCCATAGGGATTAAGCCTCCATGAATTCCCATGGATCCTTGACCAGAGATGAGAATATCCTTCCTCAGATTGTATCAGAAAGTGAATTATTAACATTTTATAGTTTGTTTTCCCCTTTGACCCATTTTATTTATTTTTGTTTGGTTCACTTTTTTTTTTTTAATCATTTTATTCGGGGCTCTTACAGGTCTTTTTTTTTTCTTTTTTTTCTTACAGCCCTTATAACAATCCATATGTCGATTGTATCGAGCACATTTATACATATGTTGCCATCATTATCTTCTAGGCATTTGCTTTCTATTGAGCCCTTGGTGTCAGCTCCTTTTTTGTCCCCTCCCTCCCCACCCCCATGACCCATTTTTAATTTCTTCTAGTTTTTATTATTTTCTGCTTGCTTTTGGATTGAGGTTTTTCAGTGGTCTCTTTGGTTATTGTTGTTGCAGTTTTTGTTTGTTTTTGTTTTTCCTGGTATGATTTTCTTTATATGAAATCCAGGAGAGGTAAACATATAAATAAAGTAACTACATTAATATTTAAGACACGTTATGGAGTTGGAAGGAAAGGGGGAGCCAATACCAATGAGTACAAAATGAAGAAACTGTTCTACAATTGATTGACAACTTTTAAATTTCTTCATATAATTGAATTGTGTATGCCAATTAAACTTTGAAAAAAGAATAACTTTATCACTAGGTTATTTTGTGTCATAGAACATTGTTCAAGTCATAATTTCTTACTCTAATATATGAGGGGGTTTCAAAAGTTCAGGGGGAAATGGGATTTTAAAATAATGGAATTTTTCTGTGAACTTTTTGAAAGCCTCTTGTATGTTAAGCATTTTGGGATGTATCTGCGTGTCTCTAAAAGATGGGGTTTTTAAAATATTGTAATTTTCTGTGTGAAATAAAACATAAGAAAAGACAAGTCTTGAGCAGCAGTTTTGCCAGTGTAATATGTCATGTGCTATCTTGATTGCTGCTTCCAGTTGATTGTAGATCC